ATAGCTTTCTGTGTTGGTTAAAAAAAGAGAAATAAGTAAAACCTATTTGTACCCTGTCAATTCCAGTGGCGGTTTTTGAATTATGGTCATCTCCCCAGGGCAGCGTGGTCTAGGGGGGTGCCATGATAGAAAGAAGAGAGACAGAAAACAGCTTAAACTGAGGCAATGATGGAAACCACAGTGTGCTGCCTGGTCAATCCTAGGCTTTTTTTTGTTGTTGTTTTTTTATTTGAAGTGACTATCTCTGGTGAAGAAAAGAGATTTGCAGTGGAGATTCATCGGTCACTTTTTCCGATAGCACTTTTCCTTTGAGGTCTGAGTTGCTGATTAAGATTTGATGTATTTCAATTATTTTATGTAAAGGATTTAAAGCACATTAAAAAGACAAAACTATTTTGTGTGGGTTTGTTTTTAATAGACATATTTTTGATTCAAATAGAAAATTTTGAAATTAAAGAGTAACAATTTATGTATCATAGAATATATTGCTAACATTGAGATTTGATATTTGTCAAACCAAGATCAAAAGCTATCACCTTTATCAGAGCCAATCAAGGAAAAAAAATATGTTCTTATTAATAGCCTATAAATTGGTACCCTTTTGATTCTTTGTCTTATGAAAAATAATAGCAAAGAAATTGATAAGAGTTTGTTTTTTTGCAGAAAAGATTTTGGATGTGGATTTTTTTTTAATGCATGGGGTGGTCTAAGAAGGGGCTCGCCCAGGGTTCCATTTCTACAAGAACCGCCACTGGTCACTTCCAGCAAACTTCAGCAATATTAGGGGAGGGGATCAAAACTGAAAAATAAAGCAGTGCCCAATTAGCCCTAACAAATTTACCTATCCTTTTTTTACACGCAGAAAAACATCAACAACAAAAGAAAAAAAGAAAAGAAAAAAAAACAAGCGAGCATGGCATTAGAAAAACCTTGTTAGCATATTTAAATTCACAGTAGCCTGGATGCAGCAGAAAAATATTCTTTGGACTTCAGTTTTTCTTTTTTTTTTTTCCTTTTTCTTTTTATTAATTTTCCACTTTACTGACAGGTTAAAAACGTCAAGTGCCAGTTAGATAAAATGTAACGCGATGACAATCATGGATAGCAGTAATCCTTATACGGCTTATAAAAATGGAGAGTGTTTGTAGCCCCAGGAAGGGGGCGGGGACGAGAAAAACAATGAAAACGTACCTTTATACATCTTTTATAGACGTGATATTGCAGAAATATCTCTCTGTTTTTCTCTGTTTTTTGTTAAACAATTTATGCTGGTATAGGCTATACATTGGCCCTTTATTCGATCATTTTATTGCATTGTAGGCTTAATTATACCTCCCTTATAACGAAAAAATCACTATAATATTCCCATAGAAACCTACAGAGGCCTATGGTGGGGTTAGAAATAGGGACTCCTTTATGCGTAATGGTGTCTTGGAGGCATTGTGTACATCCATAGTGAGTGGTAGTTAAAGTATCTGCAGTGGTAGCATTAAATATTCCTGTAAGTAGAGTTTTAATCTCTATATAAATCTATCATAGGATTACTATAGGTTCCTTTTCGTCAGGAGGCTGCTGCTTCTCTGGGAATCAATCGCTGTCTGATTTCTCGTCCTTCGAAGTGACGGTGGCGTGATTGTACAGTCCCTGCGCCATCAGGTGCAAGGCCAGAGTGTTCTTGGTGCCGCTGGCCTTCTTGATCTTGGCTCTCTTGTTCTGGAACCAGATCTTGATCTGGGATTCGTTCAGACCGAGCTCCTGGGCCAGGTTCTGCCGCCTCTGCTCCGTCAGGTACCGGTTGGTCTGGAACTCCGACTTTAGTCTCTGCAGCTGCTCCGCTGTGAAGGCCGTCCGTGGTCGCTTGTCCTCTTTGCTGGTTGTTTTCTTCTTTGGTTTGCGAGATCTTGGCCCTGGGGGGAGAACACGTGCAATTGTTTGTTAGACATTTTTATTAATTGGTCATTTCGAAACAAAAACAAATCCCTTTAGGTCAAGTGACGCACATTAGGTACCAAATGATTAGTGATATTTCATGTGTTTTCTGTTTCACTGAGAGTCTAAACAAAGCCTATTTAAAATGTTTTATGATTCTCATGTAAAATCACGAATTTTACATGAGAATTACAATAAGACGTTTTTAGATGATTATTGACGATTGGACAATATTTAAGGGTGATATTTGAGCGTTTTAGTTGTATTTCAGAATCAGAAAATGTTTTATCACCATTGTTGATTAAAATACCTCACCATAAAGATTAACAAACAATATACAATGGTTTAAGTACACAATGGTTTGTTTACAAGTACGAAATCACCAAGTGTTGATATAAATAAAGGTGGGATTTGTCAAAATGGCGAAATGAGCTCGATCCATAGTTCAATCTTAAACCAAAACAGCTTCATGAACATCATTAAATGTTATTGTTATGTATTCCATCAAAAAACATAACTAAAACCCGAGTTTTATGTTATTCTTTCACTTTGCATGGGGGTAATTAACTCCAATGTAACCAAAACCCGTGTGCGTAAAGTACACTTTAAAACAAACGGTCACATTGTTCATATATCTATAACAGCCGACCAAAATAGGATGTAAACAAATGGATATCTTCGTGTGTGCTCTGTTTAGTTGGAGAGCCAAACATAAGCTAAAGTTTTGTCAGATAAAAAATTTAAATCGATATATTTCGCTATGAAAACTTGCAGAAAGGGGGCCCAAACCATAGTTTAAAAGCTGTCCCAGGGATCCAAACGCAGCCATGCCTCCCTGTTGCTGCTTTACAAACACAAACACAAGCACACACACACACACACACTCACTGAGCATAAACTGACACACTCTAGTCCATGGACACAAATATTAACAGATGACAGCAGGATTAGTGGGAAAAATGCGTGTTTTTGCTGTTCAATTTAGAGTTTGAATTCAATTCGGCGCTGCTACTTTGCCTCTCTGTGTTTCCCCTTTCACTTTTTTTGTGGGCCACTTGAAAAACTCCCTGGTGGACGGACGTGAACAGAATCTGGAATCTGAGAAACACACACAATCCTTTCCCATCTGGGAAGACGGAGCCCCCTCTTTCGAAACAGAGCGCAAAACATTAATAAAAGAAATGCACAATCAACTCTGAATCATGAAAACCTAAAGCATGAAAATCTAAACATCTCCAACTCGTAGTAATCGCCCACGGAACTCTATAGTATAGCTTTCCATAATGCATGAGAACAAGTTGTACTCCACTTTCCAGTGGGAAGTTAGAAATATATAACAACTAAACTCCCTTGCAGCGATAGTAGACAATACATGGAGCTTATGAGTTGGTTTATCACTACAACAAAGAAGCTCACTGCTGTTGCAAATTGGGCAGCGATTCTTATGAAACCATGCAGATTTGATATCATCCAAAACATATTAGTAAGGAAATGACTCTACAGGTGCACAAAATGTTAGTTTGAATGCATCCAAGCTCCCTTAATGAGACAGCTCATCGCACTTGTATTTACTCGAAATAAATTGATTATACACACAAAATTGCACTAAGGTACCAGGAGAAATCCTGTGCGTAAAGTAACCGTAATGTGCCACTATTAATTATTTTGTAGTGGGGAAAAAATGCTGTCGATCAGCATTAAATATTTCGTTTCTATTGTTCATGTTTTGTAAAGGCCTGCTCTTCTACTCCTTGTTCGAAAATAATAGTTTGATAATAGTGAGATAAATTGTTTAGCTCTGTTTACGCGCGATGGAAAGTATATGCGTGAAATCCGTTTCTAAATGCGCGACCACGCAGGTTTATATAGATATTTATATGTTTAGTTTTATTTTTTATTATATCAGAAAGGAGATTTTTTTTTTTTGACGTATGCGCGGCATAGCGATCGCTCTCTTTACTGCAGCTAAAACTCGGTCAAGGCATTCGGGGTCAGTGTTACGGGGTATTTCAGGTTACAACGCATTTTTTTTTGTCAGGGATGTAGTAAAACGGCATGCCACCAACCTGAAGAAGGCCTGTCCGAGTATCGGGTGCAGTAGACCCAGGCTGGCCACAGCATGGGCTGCGACATGGATGGGTTCGAGCTGGCTTGGGAACTGTCTGAATCTGAGCTTAGGCACTGGTCTCCGTTCTCCCCACCGGGTTTTAGGGACTCATCTGCAGCTTTCGCGGGCTTCTTGGTGCTGGTGACAGTGTGTGGAGTGGAGGTCCCCTCCGCCGGCACCGTGCTGCCCACTGGTTCGGTCTGAGGGGCGGCGGGGCTGCCGCGGCTCTCCCGCGACGCCTGGATGCTCTCCTCTCGGTGCGCGCCCGCATCCTTCTTCCGTCCGAAGTCCGGTCGCAGGATGTTGTCGATGAAGAAATTGGTGACCCGATGCGGGATCTGCGGGTTCCCCGGCGCCTGTAACAGGGGCAGGATAGCTCTGTTGGATTCATCCGCTGAATCCTGCCGCTCCACCGCATCTCTATTGCCGTGATCATTTTCTTCCATACTGATTCACTTTCCCCCGCTTTACGCTCTTTAACCCCTTTGTCGCTCCCTCCACAGCAAGAAATTTTGAGAACTTTGAGGGAAATTACCCCCACCCCTAAAAAAAACTGTCCGGGTAAAATAAATAAATAAAAAAACTCAAATACCAGTGAGTGCCTTGGACACCACGCAAAGTCTTGCCGTAGTGCCCTTTGAGAAAAGCATAATTTAGCTCATATATTTCCTGAAAATCGGGTTATAAGTGATATCTCAGAGCGTAAGCGTTTGCCATTTGCGCACAAATCCAATTTATACCATCCGATTTATGCGTCCCAGGGAATGCCTACATCTAAACTAAACTAAGGGTAAATAAAGAGGCTCCTAAACTGATGCTCTAATACTCTCACTCTGGAGTTTTGTTCTTATTTTCAATGCGAGCCCCCCGAGTGACGTTCACCCACCGTCCTCCCAGACACGTGCCCCTGACCAATAGGAAGGTAGAAACCAGGCCACGTGACGCAGAATCCGGAGCGATCTACAAACGCCCCATCCTCGCCCTAGTAAAAGGGGAAGAGTCCCGAACGTGTACGAGGAGGAAAGCCTAATTTGAATCCGGTGCATGCACACAGATACACCCAGTTTTCGTGACATGTTTTTACTTTATTTTGCCACAGGAGTTTGAGAAAATGTGAGCTGGTTTGTGGGTAGAAAAACAAAAACAACGAGAGGATTGACGCGTTGGTTTGGGAAAAAAAAAAAAATAGTGAGCATGGAGGATCCCCAGGGTTCAACACTCCCAATAACACCAGAGGAAGTCAGATTTCAATGAGCTTAAATAAGCTCCAGCATATATTTGAATGAGGAAGTTTAATTATGATAACTTTTTGTGATGAAAAACAAAAATATTCATCAACTGATTAAATCCTGAAGATCTACCTAATAAAAATGCTACCAATAACCTATTTGGAGGGAAGTGCAGCATATTCTGATGAACAAGTGATTTGCTTTTTGTTGAATTTGGACCCTCTTTCAACAGTTTTGACACATTTAAGTTACCTTTACTTTTAAAAGGTATATGCTTTAAAAAGCGCGCTGAGGTTATGCGTAAAAAACTATATTTGGGGATGGAACAGACTTATTATTCTTTGCACATTACATTGAATTTACCAAATTATATAATTTAATGACTTTTTTTAAAATTTCCCTATAAAATAGCACGTGCTCACCCCATGATATGTAGTTTAGACGCTTCATAATCAGAGCGATGTGACCAAGAATTGATGTGCTATTAGATGCGTTCTCCTGTCGCGCAGCCTGCGGTGGCCCCAGAACTGGGTCCATATCCCTTTAAAAGAAATCAGTGATGCAAACAAACTGTTTTGTGCGCGCTGCTCGGGACCCGAAGTCGCGCCAAAGACAAAACTTTGAGTAACTTTGCTGACCACCTCCAAAGACGAGTTTTCTGAGGTTACTCCATCAGGCAGCGAGGACGGCGATTTGGATTCGGGTCTGTTCACACAAGGAGGGATCCACTGAAAGAGCGGCGTGGAGAGTGAGTGAGAAGCTGTGGGTCGCCTGAGTTAAAGCTCTGTTTTCTTTTTTCTTTATTAGTATCAGAAATGTATTTGTCAAATTTATTTATTTATCTATTTATTTTTTCAATCCAGAAGAGCATACCTAGATTTCCTTAAAGATAATCTCTTTTTGGATGCCCTGCTCGTCTACTTGTTTTAACAGATGTCTTGTTTTAATGTTCCCATAATAAGAATGCACTTCATTTTGAAGGCAACGTTCAAAGTTATTTTACATTTCATTTTTTTTTTTTTTTTTTGGCATATGAAACTACCCCCGTCACATTTTGGTTAGTGTTCAAGAAGGAAAAAAAATAATATTCTAAACCTCCACCTTTTTGAATGCGTCTTAGTATAAAGGTAAAGGATTTTGTTATTTCTGCTGCAGAAGCTAAATCTAGAATAATCACACGAAAAGGCCTAACCCACACATGCATCAATAGGTACTTTTTAAAGAATATTTTTAACTATTTATTCATTTTAAAGTTAAGAATGTACCATATCTTATTAAACCTAAACGGCTGGATTGTGAATCGTACCTGACCAACAGCCATCGCCTCTGCGCAGCCAGTCCAAACAGTAGAAAGTTGATAGTGAAAGGTGTAATTAGACAAGGCACACTCTCACGCTGCGATTGTTTCTCACTTGTGAGGGGAAGCTCAGATTAATGTTGAGCGCTAAATAAGCAGCAGACAATGGATCCACAGACAAGCCGCTACCGCCTGGGCTTGGCCTCTAACCTCCTCAGCAAAAAACAGGGGCGTCTGGAGGAAATGACACCATTGCAGACTCTGAATTAGAATCCAGGGGCCTTTTGTGCAACACAACATATTACATATTCTTCTACTAAACACCCCCACCCTCCCCAAAAGACGTAATATTCCTTAAGTTTGAAACATCTTCCCTCTATATTTATATTGTTTTCTAATTAAATCATGTTGTGTGTATTTTCCAGTGCAAAATGTCCAACCGCACTGATACAGAAAAACTTAAATGTAACAAATATTGCGTAAGTTTCACACATGTATTACACTGTAATGTCCAAATAGTATGTTTGTTATAATCAATTCTGTTTATATAACTGTATTTTTTCTGCTCTTAAGAAAAAAGGTCGTCTCATGTTTTAATAGGTTAAAACTATTTTCATTGTCTCTACTTTTCTGGTTGGTAGAGGGTCAAATTTGGGCTCCAGAAACTATATTTCTTTTATTTTACATTGCCGCCACTTAACAATTGAATATATATATACCATTTTCTCATTAGGATTTGGCTTCTGTTGGCTTTTTTTGGCTGTGTTTGGGGATGTGATCCTAACATCCCTTATATTTAGGATTTTTTTGTATTTTTTTCAAAATCTGCCTGTTCCATCGCTCCCCTTTCCTCTCCAGAAGGTTTTGAAATGTGCAAAACAGCTCTTATAATTTTCATTTCACGTAAATGCGTAATAAATAGTGAAATCGGGCGCAGGTTTTGCCTGTTTATTTATTTATTGTTTACAATTTTGACTAATAGTGATGAAATCCAGCGTGCGGAAACCATAGGCCTCGACGTCTGCAATCATTCCACATGTTGGCCGAATTAGACGCTTGAATTTCCGAATGGTGGCGTAAAAATCAAAGCCCTTCATCATATTTATTCATTTATTTATTGTAGTATAGAAATTACTTGCAAATATTCTACAGGAAAAACTTAGTTTTTCACTGTTTTTCGACAAACATGACCTCAAAGCTCTGTTTTTTTTTTTTTGTTGCAAAAATGGGAAACATTTGCTGTTATGTTTGTGCACCATATAAGTGTTTGTGTGTCTTTACCAAAGAATTTACATTCCCTGCCTCTTTTGAAGCCTAAACTTCTGTATCCATGCAGTGAATGTATACAGCACAATCCACTTATAGCTCCACTCCCCCTCCCTCTTCCTGTTTTACGCACGCGCGTGCACATATACCTTTTAACCCTCCCTGCGCCTTCGAATCAATCGCGCGCGTTGTGCGCATGTGCCCTGTCCTTGAGCTCCTATAACCTATTTTATCTCCCCCACCGCTCCCCCTCCTCCCCTGTATCTCTCCTGGTAGAATTGTAGTATACGTCAGTACTATGGAGTACTACACAAGGTGACGCGCAGGAGGAGGATTTGTGAATGGACGCCGTGATGTGTGCCAGCTCACTGATCAGAGGGCGGTGGGACCTTCTGCAGATGCGGCCCCAGCCCCCCCCCCCCCATCCCTCCTTCTTCCCGGTCATCATCCGTGCCTCCAGATGAATGGGGGTCCCCCCTAGATATCGGCTCTGTCACCATCGCAGGGGTCGCACCAAATCTTTCAGCACCCTTTCAAAAATCCTGAAAGCACTCTTCTATTTTAAGATCCTGTATGATTATTTCCCTATTTTACTTTTTTTTTTTTTACTCGGCCCCATGATTTGTATTTTTATTTCTATCGTGAGTTGCTCAGGAGGAGCGCAGTAGAATTAGTAAAGCTTAGAAACTCTATTTTAAAGGTTGATCCAAAAAAAAAAAAGTCAGTCGACAACTAACACAGACGTGTTTTAATTTGGAATCCACACCCGTGTTCCTATCAAAATAAGCAACATTTTACAGATAAGACAAGATCTGAGGGAGAAAGTAAAAACCCTAAAACATAAGGGGAAATTTGGTGCCCAAAATTAAAATATTACCTTAATAATCCCCTTTTTGGACTAAATGTTCTGATTTAAACGAATCATTTACCCCTTTGCACTGCAGGTAGATGATGTCTATATAATTTGTTTGTATTCTTTTTTTTTTCTTGCTGTGATTTGATTGTGAATACAGAACAATCCTCTGGACTTTGTTGCTGCTGAGTCTTCTGCTTTTAGCCCTTTATAGGTTTTAATAAGTCTTAATCCGTCTGATCGGTGTGGCGTAGATAAGTCTCATTTAAATTTGGATTGTTCTTTTTTTTCCCCGTCTTCTCTCTGCAGAAGCCTCAAACGGGGCTTAGTGCAAACAGCTACCACCCTGAGTGCAATTAAGGCCTAGGCTAAATTAGATGAAGCCTAATTGAATGCAGCTGAGTTCCCATCAGCAAACCCCTGAAACCTGCACGAGTGGAGGTACAAATTCCCGTCTGATGATCAATAATTGCTTATTTTAAGGCCAGAGTTCGTGTTCTGTGTGGGATGAACGCTTTTGAGGGCTTCACTTTTCTTTTGCATCGTTTTGGAAAGAAAAAAGTCAAATCTTTGTGAAAGTACAGCTGCAGTTCATTATTAAAGCCATTGTTTTACTCAGACCCCCTTTTTCAAAAGTATTAATAGGAATATTTGTTGTGATCACTTATAAACAAGACGGAATATGAGAAAAAGTTTATTTGAAGAAGAGATGTTAATCATTCTCAAGGTTTTAACCCACAGTTAAGCTTTAGGTGCAGTTTCATGTGTAACCTTCCTCAAAACGAACGTGTTAAAAAAAAGTAAAAGTCTGAACGGATCACTGATTATATAGTTTTGATAAATGAATTCAACAAAATAAAGATGATGCAGATAACAAAGAGGAGGAATAAACTAAAATTAAATAGCATAAAGCCTGATTGCAAAAAAACAACAACAACAACAAAAAAAAAAAACTATTGCATGTGGTAAATAGAAACTGAATTAGAAAATAGAAAATTAAAATCCTGGCGATTTTTAAGGTTCTAACTTATATTCATGAATAAAGCAAATATGCAGGTTGTTTGCATTAATTTCATCTTTGTTCTTTCTTACCACTTTCTTCTACAAGATCAAAGGCACAAAAGTTTGGGCTGTAGCCTATAGGTCGCCTGCAAATTTTCTAAACAGCAAAAAAAAAAAAAAAAAAAGAATTGTATGTATATTTTAATTGTCAAAACATTTTAATTTTTTTGTATCAGGGAATCCTCCATGAGCTTTTTCCTATTCATAATTAAACATCACTGCGATTGTCAACTGGAGCCACAGTGCTATTTGCTTGTCCTGGTCAACTACAGGTCTGCAGTTCTATTTCTGTCTGTTTCCAGACTTTACATTCCCAGTGTTTCAGAACAAGCTGCCATCCGATAGGTGCTGCAAAGTTTGTTTGAAGAGAAACATAAAGGGGACAAGCTTTGAATGTTTATTCTAAAAGACTCTGAGTTTAGTAGAGAAGTAGGCAATGTCACAACAAAACAAAAGCAATAAAAGTCATTGCATTTATCCTGGAAAAGTTGCGGGTTGTCCAGAACTCCTGTGCGGTCCAAATCCGCGATGGTTTGCGCGTTTTGGATTTCCCACATGCCGAGGAGGGAGGGACAAGTGGGAGATGGACAGGTGAGAAGCACTTGCTGCAGAGTAAACAAAGGTTTCTGAGTGTTTAATCAGCATTTAAAGGAATAATACCACAACAGCAAATGTTAAATTGTTTGATGCTCTCCTGACGCATGCATGCAAAAATATGTAGAAGTTTTGCTGGGGGTCGCGATGCATCTTTTCTAAAATAGTTTAAGCTTTATTTTGCAAATAAAAACAGAGAAGCCTACTTAAATGTACTGAAGGGTGCAAAACCTTATAAGTTTCTTTTAAAAGTTTAATCGAAACAACATATGCGATAGGATTTTGTGGATTTTTTTTTAATTAATGGTGAGAAAACAATTCCGTTTATGTCTTGCTCTTAGCTCACAGCTTTAAAAATAGCTGAAGGAGGTCAGTCGGGAGCGGTTACCCGACCCCTCTCCCTGTGTGGCATTGCGCCCTTTGCAGTTAAACTTGCCAAAATAGTGCCGGACTCCCCTGAAAGTGCCATGTGCGCCCGAGTCCCTTTCACCCCACCGTCCCACCCTGCTGCACCTCAGTTGTTTTTACCCCCCAGTTCGCTGATATGTTGTGAATTCTTCTTTTTAACGGGAGGACGGGCTCATCAGTTGCACTACATTTCAGCCTCTGCCATCTAAGCTGAGAGGCGCAAAACATGCCTGTCCATGCATAGAGACTAATCAGAAAGTGGTAAACACTGGCTTTTAGGCCTCTGTGGAAAAAGGCTGCAAACTTCATCTGGACCATTAAGTGTTCAATCACTTACAGCATTAAAATAAAGGGTACCCTGGTATTTAAATCATACAAATATTTAAAATTTGGTCTTTTTTGTCTGTAGAACTAACACTGAAAATACATTATGTACAAAACGTTCTCATTCCCACACCTACCACAAACTTAGTTTTTTTGCAGGGCTGTTTATGTGTTAGTAGAATATTTATCCATTACTGTTAAGAAGGCATAACATAAAAAAAATGTGCAGCAAAATATTTAATTAAATTATACTCAGTTTTACCTCAAAATAAAAATACAAAACAACAGCTTGCCTCCAGAAGACCTAATTGTTGAAAAGAGTCTGCATACATCTCAGCATAAATACAGCTGCTGTGTTAGGAGCTCTTTGGTTCAGATGGAGCCAAACCTTAACTTTCTAGCCTACACTCAAAACAGTAAGAGTAGATAAACTCAACTCAACTCAACTTTATTTATAAAGCGCTTTCAGTCAGCCAAAGCTAAAATCAAAGCGCTGTACAGGTCATTTGAGCAGATTATAAAACACAATTATCACCACAACACACTCAAACAAACTCAAAGATTAAAAAAAAAACAAGTAAGAGCAGATAAACACATTTAACACATCATCCCCATGTGTAAACATGGTGGTGGCAGCATTATGGTATGGGAATACTTTTCTTTTACATGCATAGCTAGTCAGGGTTGACTGATGCTCTTTAATGCTGCTGCAGAAATCCTGTTGGCCTGCAAAATATTGGAAAGTAAATATGAAGCCAATTCAAAACATAAGACATAAGAATAAATCAAATGTTTAATTTGTAGTGAGATGTAAATCGCTAACAAATGCTTTTCTATGCAGTCTGAGTGAGATTGAACAGTTTTACTATGAAAATTGGGAAGGATTTTTTTAGGCTTAGGCAGATATGCCCATAATAACTACAGCTGTAAGTCTTTGAAAACTGATTTCAAGCAGATGCCAGAATTTTCAAAGCTGTTACTTGAAAATAAAATAAAACCAATAAAAAAGTAAATTAATGATCTCCATTTTGTCCTCTAGTTTTTGTTGGTCCGTCATATTACATCCCAAACAAATACATAAAAGTTTGTGGTTTTGAAATATTTTAATAGTGATTCCTGGTTATGAAGATTATTAAATAATCTCCTCTAATCTTCGATCGGTAGAGCAACTTCTCACTCTTTTGTTCACTACTTTCTTATTTCATCCTAAAGTAAATCCTGGGTTTATTGATCTGCTTTGGTCTTTCTTTGTTTGTGAGTTCCTAGAATCGGTCGACTTCAGAACAGATAATGTGATGGATCTTGATTCATTCCATTACCTTTCAGCGCTATCGCCCTGGTTGATTTTTACACAGTCTGATCTGAGCTGTAAGATGCAGTAGGTGTGTTTCATTTACACTCAGAAGGATTTGTTTGGATTTCATGCATAATGTGGTATTACCACTGGTTTACGCTGTCATTTTTGTTATTGTCCCACAGAACGAAGAGGAGGAAAGCAACACAGATTTGGCTGAGCATGCTGACTGAACTAATTGATCCTCCACTCCCCCATGATCATCACAACAGTGGCTGTTGTTTATCCTTCTAAAGTTGATTCTGTTTTTGATTTTGTTTTTGTTTACTTTTCAGTGATTTATGATGAAGCATAGCAGAAAAAGTCAGAACAGCGGTCAGTAAAGGGCATTATTGGAAAGAAGGTGTGAACTGATCATTTACCCTGCAGACAGGGGTGCCTAGCAAAGGCAAAGAGCAGCCAGAGACTGCCATTTGAATGGGATCTGAGAGGTAATTTGATCTAAAATGGACTCCAGCCATTCAACCCCCCACCCCGCCCACCCCTCCCATGGCATCCACTGTAATTCATTATTCCTGGCCAGCAGAGGCAATGAGCGAGGGCAAAGGAGAGGAGTTGGACTCTGCTCTGGTGTAATGAAGACTCAGTAGACCTAAACGCCCTCCTTCCTTCTCTCCCTTTCTCCCTCCATCACTTATACATACACGCAATCTTTCATTATCTATTAGATAGAGCAACGCATTATTGCTGCTGAAGACCTTTTGGCAGAGAAATAAGAATGTGCAAGGATTTTCTTCATCCTGAATCCATTTTATTGACCTTTTCCATCATGTATGGGGCTCGCGAGGCCTGTGCTCTGCAATGCAAAGAAAATATTCTGACCACAATACTTTTGTCACCCCTTTATAACGCTTTTATTGAAATGCAAAAATGTATTTTCGTCATGCTAAATTGAAGATGTGTGTTTTTTGTAAGTTTTCAATTCAAGTTTGTCACTCTCACAAGCATTTAGGAGTTTGTTTTCTTACATCATAGATGAAGAAACACTCCTTGCATGACCTGTCATAGCGAAACACTTGTATTATCATAAAATGTCACAGAAATTCTGGGTTTTGAAGCTTTTTTTTTTTTTAAACCAGAAGACATTTCAGTTTTCTGTCCTTCCACTAGGGGTCCGCAGATGTCATGTCCAGAAGGGCTGAAAGGGATAAACACTGTCATCTGGTGGTAACTAGAAAGACAATTTCCTCATTCTGAAAGGAGGCAAAGCTTCATCCTTTCTACTGGGGCGGCTCTGGGAAACTTTTAAGAAACTTTTATTTTATATACAAAACAAATATGTTCTACATAGATGTAAGGTGAATGTATGAAAATCAGTCCACTCTACAGGAATCCTTACAATGTAAAACATAAAGCGGTGAAAATAAAGGTTGTGAGAGAACATTAATTCATTTTTTTTATAGTTGTTTGTGAACCTTTCGAGTAACTTGAATGGATTAACGTGGGAAATTTATAAAGTAGTTATTTTTCAAAGTTAATCCAGTATATCTGCTGGTAATTCTTTATATAAATGTATGAAATTGGTTAAATTGTCACATTATTTTACAACCAGAAATATTAAACGGCATTTAAAACCATTTTAGATACAATGTGCTTTTTTCTTAATCATCTGTGTTATTTAATTGTTTTTTTTTGTTTGTTTATTTTGTCATTTTAATCAAGAAAAGCTGCATAATAGATTAGTTTTATTTACTTAATAACATTTGAATCATTTGTTTAATCAGAGCTGGTGTGATAAATCACTTTTTTGAGTGTCAATAATTTTTAGAGCTTAACTTTCAGTTAAGTTTCAACCATCTGACCAACACCATCAGCTTTAAATGAAATTAATTCGGTAGGATGTTAAAGAACAACCAATGATTCTGAAAGCCTCAGTTCTGTCATCGGCTGGAAGATGATAACCGTCAGAGCTAAACAGATGGGTCAGCCAGGAAGGAGGATTTAAAAAAAAATTTAATTACCTCTATGATGCCTTAGATTTGGGTCTCTCCACATGAAAAGGATAAATGCCTTTTGAAGAAATGTATTTTTTTTTTTTTGTTCAATGTAACAAAGGGATATTTAGTCACAATGAGAGGAATTGTGTATGGATGACATAAGGTGTGGCTAATTAAACCATTTGAACTCATTTCATCTGTCAAGCACGGTGGTGGCAGGATCATGTTAAGAGTCTGTTCAGATTTCTGCAGACACAAGAGTTTCCAAGCAATGGGCAAAGCCTTCTAAATAGACTTTAGACAGGATAAGGCAGGATAACATGAAACCAAGATGTCAAACCTGCAGCCAGAATTGTTAAAAACCTCAATGATGATTTTTGTTGTTGTTGTTGTTTGGTTGGGTGGGGAGGGTGGAGTATATTTTTACATTTAATTTTCTTTGTGTGTTGGATACAGTATGTTTCTATCATGTTGTAGCAGGTGTATTATAACATCCTCTCCTGCAATCAATAAAGATTGATTTCCCCTCAGTTTTGGCCACCTGGATGACAGAGACAGTTCATCTCAACTCACTCCATTCCATATTCATTTTAGATTTATAATATTTAAAAAAATAAAAACACAAGTGAAGAAGACAAAAACTGCCATAGGCGGTAACATTTTCAGAGCTTTTTAAAGCCACCAACATGCAGCAAGGAGGCGTCTGCCAAGGCAAACCTGTGGATGGGGGTAAATCGATAGATCAGGTCGGGCCCCAGCCTGGCTCATCTGAGTGCCCTGCAGGAAGAATGAAGCTTTTGGGAGAGGGGGGGGGGATGGGGTTGTTGGCAGAGATGAGGTGCCTTAATGGAGTCTTTCAGTTTGCTGTGGCTGTAAATGAAAGGATGTTGAAGCTCAGCCAATTATCACCACTGAGCGGAGGGGGGAGGAAAGGGTGTGTGGTGCAGGATTATTTCTACAGCAAAGAAAGAAAGATAGATAGATAGATAGATAGATAGATAGATAGATAGATAGATAGATAGATAGATAGATAGATAGATAGATAGATAGATAGATACTACATAATACATGGTTTATTCAGAGTAGCCTGCAGATATTGGCTGCACTCCTGGATATTTCTCCCCAGTGCAAAGGTTAACTGTCAGTCCCCCACTAGGTATAAATAGAAGTCTGCCCTCCAGAAAGGCGTGTCCTGGGACGCGGCAGACAGAGGCAGGAAGAACAGGAGGGGCAGTCCCTCATGATCCAAGTGACACACATGGGGAGGGGAGTAGTTTCAGGGCTATTTGCCCCATTGGGGATAGTCCCACAAAGAAGAGGAAGGTGAGGGAAGATGCAGCCAAAGACATCATGGTGGCTTTGGAGACTGAGAGCACAGAGACAAAGGAGTCTCCTCATCCACTGAGTTTGGCTGCAGCAGCAGAGCCAGCTCCCAGACAGCTTAATCCTGATATAGTCTAAGATCTAAATGAAATCAAAGGGCCATAGTTATAGCTGTTTGGGTTAGCAATTTCTTTCATTAAAATAAGAGGCATGAGTCGTATTTAGTTTTCTATTTTTTAGACAATATAATTGTTTAAAGTTAGCATGCTTCTAATCATAACCCATTTGTAGAACTTCCCAAGAACAAGATTAAAAAAAAAAAACTTTCCTGTCTAAAATGTATCATGCCTAGGGTTCTTGCAAAAGTAAAACAATAAAGGTTTAGCTCCCTTGAATCAAAACTTTGTAAAATAAATGTAGCAACCTCACAAACTGTGAATAATAGCCACATTTTTTTGTGTTTTTGATCCAGACAAACAAAACTTATGATTAGTTTCGGTGAGAATTGAACAACACACTAAAAAAATTGTAACATATACTTACTGCAACTGATAATAATAATATCATCCATGACCAGCTCTGCATTTATTCAATAATCAAATAAAGGCAGAATAGATGGCCTTGTCCTTATATTTATTTATTAAGCAGACATGCTATGCAGCACTTTCTCTTTTTAATTAAGGATTGTAAGAGCCAGAGAGAAAATTACATGATTTCATTTTTTAAGAATGTTTTATTGGACATGTACATTAAAGGAATTAATGTAATTTGGAAGATACATGAAGTAGTAATGATGACATATCCATGGCTTAAGATTCATGGATATGTCATATTTTTTCAAGATCTACACCAAGATTCCAGCCAATAACCTAATAACGTTTTTTAACTGGAGTTAGCGTGTTTTAATGTTGCTGACGGGTATCATATCATTGGCCTATAAATCACCTTTTACAGCAAATACAACTTTGAGTCCATTGGATTGTGTCTTTATTATATTTCACATCTAAATAAGAAGATATTTGACAATTCCTCTTTGCAAAATAGCCCAAAAAGCTATTAACATTATGTGGAGACTTTAACTGCACCAACCCAAGGCAAAAATATTATTTGATATCAGTCATTCTAGAGTTTCTCTGGCTGTATGTTTCAGGTTATTGTCCTGCTGGAAGGTGAACATTTAAATGCAGCCTTTAGTCTTTTACAGTCTTCCTGCATTTAGCTGCAGCGTCTTCCCCTCAGGACTCACCGTCTCCCTTGTCCTTGCTCTAGAAAAAGACTCCCAATTGCATGCTGCCACCACTGTGTTCCAATAAAGTTTTCCGCCAAACATGCATGCAGGACAAAAAGTATAGATTTGGTCTCATTTGACAACAGTAACTTTTCTGATATGAATGCTGTGGCCATGTTGCTTGTAGGACTCTGCAAACATTGATAATCATGTTTATTAGCCATGCACCGTACTAATCTGACTATAACTTATATTCCAACAATCTACAGTATTCTCATTTTTATTTACTTGAGTGATTTTTGGAAATGAATAAATAGATAAAAAAACATTTCTGAGCAGTTTTGCTGGATTGTGCTTTTTACTTTTGACTCTCTTGCTAGCAGATGCTGTATACTTTTAGACATTTTCTAAAAAAATAGACTATTTGGTCAAGACCTTAAAATCCATTTATTAATGCAACTCTTAAGATTTTGTTTGTTTGTTCTCCTTTTCTTTGAGGTCACCTGTTGCCATGGAAGCATTCCCATGTGCAGTGCTGACAAGAGCTGCTGTTTTCAATCAGCCTCAGGAGGAATATCCACACTGAATGAATAATTGTTTAGCTTTAATTAGTTGTAGTTAAATTTACTTGAGTAAAAATATGATGAAGAAACACTACTTTTACTTGATTAAAATTTCCTGCTACTCATCAAAAGTAACTTCATTCAATAAAGAACCAGCCTGTTTTAGGGCAAAATACACAAGAGATACTTAGTTTTTTTACTTATACTTAATTGTTTCAAATCATTTCTATCTGCTGATTGTGCTATGTCATGTCAAGAATATAAGTATTATTTAATTCAATTCAGTTTATTTATACAGCGCCAATTCACAAAACATGTCATCTCAAGGCACTTTACAGTTCAACCAGATCATACAGTCAAATTGATTCAAAGTTTTCCATCTAAGGAAAACCAGTTGATTGCATTGACTCATTGACTCCAATGCAATCCCTCACACTAAGCATGGTTGTAAAAAAACTCCCTCTTAACAGGAAGAAACCTTCAGCAGAACCAGGATCAGTGTGAGCGGCCATCTACTGAGGTCGACTGAGGTTCAAGGAGACAGAAGCAGAGATACAAAAAACAGCTGTAAAAGGCGGCCCCGTCCAGGAAACACACAGCCAGGCAGACGTGCTCTGAGCCAACTCCCATGTCAGAGGATGAAGAGAGCACATTCAGTCAGTCACAGTCAGAGAAACAGGACCACGCTGGAAAAACAGGCCGATCTTAAACATCTATAAACAAAGGTGTTGATGGCAGCAGCAAAGCAGATATTTCTCTCCATTATGGGGTCACAGCCAAACAGGAATAGACGAGGCGAAGCTGCTATGAGAAACAGCAGAGAGAGACCAGAACCTTAAAGATTGAACTAACAGATTCTGCAGAGTGGGAGAATAGAGAGAGAATGAAGCAGAATGATGAAATGGGAGTCCCTATGTCCTCCAGGAGTCTAAGCCTATAGCAGCATAACTATAGAGATAGCTCAGGATAACCTGAGCCCCTCTAACTATAATCTTTGTCAAAAAGGAAAGTTTTAAGCCTAGCATTAAAAGTAGACAGGTTGTCTGCCTCACGGACTTAAACTGGTAGTTTGTTCCACAGGAGAGGAGCCTGATAACTAAAAGATTTGCCTCCCATTCTACTTTTGGAAATTCTAGGAACCACTATTATTATACCATTATGCTCTAGCTCGTAAAGGGAAATAAATTACCCTTGTCTTACCTTAACGAATATAGGTAATTATACCTAAATTACATATTAAAGTACTGATTTCATTAGTCATTAAAACTACAAGAAGCAGTATGTGTAACTTCTGTATATTATTTTTATTGTCATTCTTTGAACCCAGAATTTACGTAGAACTTTGTTGTGTAACTTAATAGTCTTTAAATATTTAATCAGATATGACCAAGACAAATAAGCTGATCAATTACCTGAGTAGCCTTTTCATAAAATACTTCATCAGACTTCTTTTGTTTTTTCCCCCAGTATTTCATTTGACAATGAGGTATTGCTTTTTGACATTTCTGAGCCTGCTTCTTGTTGCCAAAACATGGCAAATAGTTTTTTCCTCATAAACATTGCATTTTCTAGTAGCCAAATGTCCATCATTTATTCTTCCATCCCATTTATGATGCAAAGTACAACAGGGATATCCTTGTAAGTTTTTTATTTTTTATTTGAACTCAAGGTAGCAAAAAGATACATTGTTCAAATTTAAAGACACAGAACTAAAACACATTAAGATAAAAATAAAGGTGGTTCACCACCTGAGAAGAGGACAAAAAAAAAAATAAAAAATAATAACACAATAAATAAAGCTTCCCCTCATGTTTAGCATACCTGAATGAATACTCTACCTGGAGCGGTCTGCAACTGAAAGTTTTTGAAAAAAATAACTCAGGTATCCTTAGATAATGCTACAAAATAAGATGTAATCAACAGTTTGACACAAGATACATTTTTTTTTAAATCTTTTCTCTGGTGCGAGTCACTGGTTTTGACTCAAAGGCATGTAATCTGACAAAAAAAAAAAAAAAGAAGTTATTGCTATTTTCCCCCCCCAAACAATTCAAACTGCATGTACATAGATTATTCTTTAGCCTTTGTCAGATATAATAAATAAGAAGAATAATGATCGGCTCATGTGTGATGTGATTGCACTTAATCCTTTTGACCCCTAAACACTAAAGATACTGAAGGTCTAGTGTGGTAATACCTGTGTGATTACATTGACAGGACGCTTTTAAACAATCGGAGCACTAATGACATTATCTTTACACAAAGGAGAAAACAAAACCCTTATAGTGACAAAAGCACTACATTCTATAAAACACAGGCAATCACAGATTGCAAATCTTAAGTTAAAATGTCCCACCTGTACATTTTTTAAATGAGTTTTTATATGCAACTGGGAATATGAGTAATCACAAGATTTAATGTGACATTTAGCTTAAAGGGGTGGATATACGATATACTAGTGGTACATTCTCTTTTCCTTTTAATTACAATCCTTTTCTTTTGCCCACAAACTTAAATGGTAGAAATTAGTCTTTAAAAATATAGATCTTATTGCGACACCCAACCGTGAGTCAATACGGCTGCTTTTTGTTTACAAGCAAAACAAATTTAAATGGTGAAATTTGCACTTAGTACTCAAAATATCTTAAACACAAAGGCCTGTGCTTATTTTCACAGAATAATCCAAACAATGGCACTTTTTACTGACAGCACTTTTGCTTTTCATTCCACCTTTTAACATCTAAATAAATCAACACGCTAGGAAAATGTTTTGCTTTCTACTAAAATCCTGAAAACAAATGCAAAGTTAATCTCCATGAGCTTATTTTTGTATCTATTTTAAATTTTTCCTGAAGCTAACCAGCCAACGAGCCTCGTTTTACAATTTGCTTAAAAGTCAAGCAGACAGTTTTTCTCTCCCCATGAAAAATCAAAGCCTAATTTCCAAATTACAAACTTTTGGAAGAGTCCAATTGCAGACCAGCGAGCCAGTGAGGCCTGATGCAAGAAATAAGCAATCCTGCAATAATTTACTTGCATCGTATCAAATCTACAAGGCCTTGCACAAAAACTTTGGTTTAACTTCACTGAGGTGAGGAAACTAGAGCTAATGAATTGCTTTAATGACTATGACTCTTAGAAGGTAAAGCAAGGCTTAATTAACTGTACCAGAAGAAGCAGTTTTTGAGAAATAATACTTTTTTTTCCTGCAGGCAGTTAACCTGAAAAAAGCTCAGGTCAATCAGTTTTGCTGATTATCCCACCTATGAATCAGTGACCAAGAAATAAGCCTCAAGTCATGCATCCTAAATAGGTTGGTTAAAGCCCTTGCAAAAATCTATTCTAGCTCATTTAAGATGATTCTGTAGGAAAATGTTGCAGGTGTTCAGCAAAGAATTAGAATGAAAGCAAATGGTTTCCCAAACTATTCCTTCATCATTGTAAACCATCAATCTCCACCCCACAAACAATTGCGAGTTTACTGAAAACTTTTCACACTGAATGCCTTAATTTGGTTTGACTGGGCCCATGCGATGCCACTGAATACCTATTTTTGCTAGAGTGAATACCGGTGGGTCAGCATTTAGTCTATTAGTTCCCTTTTATGACCATATCACAATAAGGCTTTAAAAAAAGAAAGTCTCAAACACTTTCCTGCTAAGAGAAAAAAAATACATCCATGCTCAAACACTCCTGGAGTCCACTTCATGAAACGAAACAAACAGAAAGAGAATGTGTCCAATGTCACTTCAAAAAAAAACAAAACCTACAAAAGGCAAAGTCCATCCTCTGGTTTGGTGTGAAGGACGCATCATGGTGATGGAGGAAAACAGGCATGGCGATTTGTTTGGCTGTGAGGAGGTTGGGAGGACATGGCACATTAGCTGATGGGGCGTAATTGACCTGTACTTTGTTATCAGAACAAAGGATGGAGTCCGAAACCAGGAGTCACTTTTTTCCTAGGTTATCCTTCTCTTTCCTCCAAACCCACTAATCCAGTTTAGCTCAAACTGTTCCTCGCTTTATGTCTGCCTCTTTATTGGTGTTGGAGTTGGCCACTCAGTCCATGTGGGGTTTCTCAACGCCTCCCTGAGGAAAAAAACAAACAAAAAAAGCTCAATCAACTGAAAGCAGTATAAAAGAGAAAATAATAAACAAAAAGATTATTTTAAATGCTCCGTATCAGAGACTTTAAACATAACTGTCAATCACTTGCTATTGTTATGCATGCAACTCAGGCTGAAACAATTTATTGATTATTAAAATAATTACCAACTAATTTAGTCATTAATCGTTAACTGGAGCACAAAGTCTCTAAAACAAGCTATTGTTCATAATAAAACTCACATAGAGCAGTAATTATACCAAAAACTTTAACAATAAAAAAATGCATTCAAGTAAAAAATAAATAAATAATTAAATAAAAAAATGTGTCAAAATGCCTCTATCCAGAACTCTAGGTTAATTAGTTTTAGCTTTACCTGGTTCTTTAAGGAAAATCTTTAAGGAATGTTTTACTGTACAGTGATTAATAAAAAAAAAAAAAAAATTACCAGATTAATCAATTATTACCATGAGTTTTCCCTTGAAATATAGAGTTGCTGTGTGGTTTAGATTTTTTTTTTGTATAAATTCTGAGTATAAAATATGTAATAAATAAAGACCATTGGGGTTTAGCTTCCCAACTTGATTTACACAGAGAATGAAATCCAACAAATGAATACCAAATTCAAAAGTAAAATAAGATTCACTGTGGTCTCTGGAACATCTTGAATCATTTTTTTCTTTTTTAAGTTGACACTGTCAATGCAACTTTCCAGGATATAATGAAATTTATTGAATACGTCTCAAAAATATGAAGTATAAAACTTCAGGAACGCCAAGTTTCTGTGCTTACAAGCATCTAAAATGCAGTCCAAACTCATTGAGTGATTGTGACAACTGCTGAAGCTTGTTAAATTTCCAGTTTCATGTGATCTGCTAGAAGCTAACTAAAACTTAGACAACATCACACCTTATTGACATTAAATTAGAGGGATAACTTTGTAAATAAACTTTGAAAACAGAGGAGCAAAAGACTGCAGCTGTGTGCAGCCAGTAAATTTAGAAAGAAATAATAAAGCCATGAGCTTTACTTGAAGCGTTGCAGCTTAGATATAATATAGGCATATATATTTATATGCTTTAGGTAGCCTAGGTATCAAAGTTGGGACAACAGATTACTGATGAGCTGGAGAAACTCCCCATGACACAAAGTTAGAGATGAACCATCATGAACCAGAGAATACACAATGGTTTTCTGACGTGAATCAGTATAAGGAGCAAAAAAAAAAATCCTCATTTGTAACCGTAGCTGCTTTTATGAGTGACATCTGAACAAAGGTACCAGTTTATCGTTTTGTAAGAACACATGAGCATTGGGTAAAAACAGAATACACTTTGACAATCCGCTGTAAAAATTGTGGTCTTTTAAATGTGATGGTAAACCAGGAGTTAATGGCAACCATCCGTAGAGTAAACGTGGAAAATTTTGCTAAACAAACTGTTCCAAAACAAAATGCTTAAAGCAGAAATATAATAAAGACCTCTCTGAGAAAAAATAAATAAAAACAATTTTGGTGTGGAATCTTCATTTACTCCCCACCCCCCAGCTTTCTCATAATGTAACCGCAAGACCAGAAGACGGGAGAAAAGCAGCAAACAAACCCACAAGTCGAGACTTGTGCCAGCATTCCACAGGCCTCATCGTAAACAAAAACAACAAGCAGCGAGCGACCCTCTGGTCAGCCGAGTCCTGACTGGCTCTCGGCGCCTCGCGGCGACTGTGAAAAACAAGAGCTCTTAATCTGCTTTCACGCTCTCACTGAGTCAAACTGAGGGAGTGACGGGACTCTTACTTTACAGACAGAATGAGGTGAGGCTTCCAGGCACAGGCTTAATGAAGACATCAAAGCTGACTTGATGGGATAATTATGATGGAAAGGGGAGGGGAGGGTTGGTTCCATGCTCTTTGCACAAATTTAAACCATTTTACAATCTTATCTCCAAGCTCTTCCACTTTGCTTCATAAAGAATAGGAGTCTTTTGAAGTCGTTTTTTTTTAAATTCCCTTATTAATAAACGGAGCAGAAGCTGATATTGACAAATGTAATGGGCGTTATAACGCCAGCAGAAGCAAGAAAACGCAAAAAAACTCATGTTTACCTATGAATTTCAATTTGGCAGTCACCGTCCAGAATATGTGACATGTTCCTCCAGAACATCTAAATCTAAAAATATCTTTAATAAAAAAAGTGGCCTCTGATTGGTCAGTGGGAACCAATACAGGTAATTTAAAAAGGAAAATTAATTGGTCTACCAAGCAACAGCAAACGCACTTAATACAATGTGATGCAGAAAGAAAACACATATAAAAAGAAGCAAATGTTACCATGGCCAGCTGCCGTCCGATGTTACCCACAGTAACACCGCCTGAGAAGAAGATACACGGGAGCCAGGACCGCACATACAAGAAGTCAGGAGATGTATACCTGAAACAGAGGGTAGAATAAAACAGAATGTTAAATGACCGGGAGGGCTTTTGGAATAAAGCTTCAGGATGAGCAGTTACTAGCATCAAGGTAATCTACGGCTAAACTTTAATGTCCATCCATGGCTTAAGCTTCTGAAATCAGTTTGGAAAAACATCTTTAAATTTGTACTTTAAAGTTTTTCCTCTCCACTGTCGCTACAAGCATGCTTAGTGTGAGGGATTGCCTTCGAGTCAATGCAATCAACTGGTTTTCCTAAGATAGAAATTTTTCAATCAGTCTGACTGTATGATCTGGTTGAATTGTAATGCGCCTTGAGGTGACATGTGTTGTGAATTGGCTCTATATAAATAAACTGAATTGAATAAATGCTTTCCTCCATTATGAGATTTTTAATTACAAGTCAAGGAGCAATCAATGCTGCTGTCATGTTCACATTCAAAGATCTGATATGAAAATATGGAGATTCTTAGGATTTTTTTAAATGGTGGGACATATGTTATGATTTTGAAAGACCCTTGAGAAAAATAATCAATAAATGCAACCTGATGTTGAAGCACCTGCTTCAATTAATGCGAAATCAACCAGTTGTGATTCATTTGGACTGTGTCATAAGTAAATGGTTTGAACCTTCTAAGAGCTTAGATTAGTCAACATTTAGCTAAAGATATGCATTGCTAAATGACAGGTAAGACTAGACTTTCAGTGAAAAACACATTTCTTCCATTTAAATCATAAACCAAAAAGGTGTTGTGTTGAATAAAAGAAGAACTAGTTTAAAATATCCTGAAAATATAGTTCTCAGTTGACATTTAACCAAATGTGGTGAAGCTGTTGATTCTCCAACAACCCCAAAGATTAAGTTTTCCAGTCACTGATCAGACACATGCAGCATATGACTTAAATATTCACTCACTGATATACTCCGTTGTAGACCAGCAGCTGTGTGATGACAGTAGCCAGGAAGGCGGTGGTGATGCCCAGACCAAAGCCACTTCTGGAGCGATCAAATGTCCACCACAGGCCCAAAGACAAGGCCGCCAGGGTCAGCGAGAGCTGCACGTTGTTGGCAAAGTCTAGTTTCTGGGTTACGGTAAGTTAAGGGCAAAGTCAAAGAGATTGACGTCAACAAAGAACTCTGCTCCTAAACAAATATTTGAGTGACCGGTTGCGACCAAGTTCCATCAATACAAAATGTTAAAAGACATTCATTTCTTTAGTGCATTCATAACCAAAATTCCTACAACTGGAGTCGTTTGGAACAGCTTAGTAGGACGAAAAGGATACAACACTGGCATGGTTGATACCGACAAACACTGCGATGCATCTCATTACACTGGCCCACTCCCTCTTGAACTTGTGGGGCTCTCCCAAATGGCTGTCGAGGCAGGGGTACAGAAGACCGATTACAGCTGCAACAAAAACAGAGGAACAAACAGGCCTGGATTACAAACGATAAGCAGAACATTCTCTGAGCCACTATGGACCAATACTGACAAAGCTGTGAAAGATTACCTACTGAGAATGTGTTTTTACACACAGTGACTCATTTATACTCATACTTATGATTGGGAAGTAGAATAAAAATAAGATTCCCTTAATCATGAAAACCAGATAAAATACATTCAGATCTGTAGCTTTAATGTGTATGAAATAATGAAAGACTGGACTTTACAGTTTCTCTAGTATGGAAATAAGCAAAATTATTTTCAGAAGAACTATTAAATATTTATTGATGTTATTTTATAACATCCATCTTAATCTTTGTTTTAAATAAATAAAAAATAGATAGGCCAAAGAAAGCAAGGTAATTAAAGCCCAATGCTCTGGTACTCGACATTAAGATGTTAACTATTTTTAATCCATACAGCTCTGCCCAAGGTGCAATTAAACAGTATTCTTAACACATCACTTTGTGATGTGACTTTGTGATGACTTTTTAATCATCAAGGCATTTTTACAATTTAATGTATTAGTATGTTTACCCTATTTTATCAATTTATGGAAATACTTTGTATGGAGGTCTTCTTAAGTTGAATGCTATTGAGATTATAAATTAGTAGAGAACAGATTGCACAAAATTGTGTCCTGACGTTTCATAACATTACAAGCAAAAACTTTTTAAAATTTAAATGGGATAATAATGTTTGTGTCCTAAGGTTTTAGAGTGGTACTATGAAAAAGGGAAGGGTGTTTAAGAAGGACAGAAAGATAATGAATAACAAAATAAGGGGAAGGAAGGAAGGAAGGAAGGAAGGAAGGAAGGAAGGAAGGAAGGAAGGAAGGAAGGAAGGAAGGAAGGAAGGACAAACCAAAATAAAGCAGAAATAAATGAGTTCAACAAGGAAGAAAGGAGAGAAAAACATAAAAGACAAGAAAACAAAGTTAAGAAAATAATAACATGCACAAAGATTAATACAGGAGAGTATGAATGTGGGAACAACAATGAAAAAACAAGGAAGTAAAAGAAAATAAGCAATGAAAGACAGAAGGAGTTCATATTGAGAGGAGAAGGACAAAGACAAGGGGCAGAAAGTACAAAGAACATATAAGAAAGGCACCAATATGAAATCGAAGATGAAAAAAGACCAAGACTGAAGGAAGAACAAAAGAAAGAAGGAAACGGTGATAACTTTCAGACAATAGGGTAGGGAGTAAAGTTGGGAAATTCATATTTTTGATGTACTGTATTATCCAGACTCACACATACTGAATAGTTGAATCAATTTCCACATTTTTAGGACCGTATTAGGTGGTATTAGAAACCTGTCAACATCTTTTTTACACAAGGTCACCTGGCAGAACAAGCACACCAGCGTTTTTCCCTTGCTTACAAGAGAAACAGGCGAGATTGTTTGGAGATATTACTCGATGAACTAAAGTAAGTTGATTAATACTACCTTAATACTACATATTAAGGTAACCAGGTGTGAAATCCCACCTTGGCAAGCTATGAACATAGTTTCTCTTCACTTCAGGAACAAGAACCAAAAAGAAAATCACAAAAAAATGGCATTGTTTTTTTTTTTTTTGCACAGGTTGAAAACTAAACTTACGTTCAGTAGAAATGCTCTTCATTGTGGCTCAGATTTATGTATCAGAACCAAATTGACCATAAATCCAGCAATATTAAGCAGAACACTATAAAGAATATTTTTTAAGCAGCCTGTGCATGACTGGTTCCCATTACCCAGTTTACCCTAAATAAATCTGACAAACATTTAAAATAGTTTCCCCCTCTCATAACAAATTTATCAATATTCATCTCTATAGTTATGCTGCTATAGGCTTAGACTTCTGGAGGACATAAGGACCCCTATTTTATTATTCTGCTTCATTCTGTCTCTATTCTCCCACTCTGCAGAATTTATTATTTCAATCTCTAACATTATGGTCTTTCTGCTTTTTCTCGTAGTAGCTTTGCCTCGTCTGTTCCTGTTGTGGTTGTGACACCTTTGGGCCTGGAGAGAAATATCTGCTTTGCTGCTTCCATCGACACCCTTGTTTATAGATGCTGGAGGTCGGCCTGTTTTCCAGTGCAGTCCTGTTTCTCTGACTGTGAATGGCTGGACGTGCTCTCTTCATCCTCTGACATGGGAGCTGAGCTAGCTCGTCTGCCTGGCTGTGCGTTTCCTGGTCCGGGCCGCTTTTTAAAGCTGCTTTTTGTATCTCTGCTTCTGTCTCCTTGAACCCCAGT